ATGAAAAGGTTGATTGGAAGCTTGTTGAGCTATAGATGTTTAGGATTTATAACTGTAGCTCTAGTAGTTGTAATTGCGACGAGAGTAATGATAATGACATTATTTTTCCCTCTTATAACCCAATACATACTGAAATTGTCGATGACAGCCTCAAACGCGTGTGCAAATTTCTTTATTGGAAAATTAGAAAACATTAACTTAATTATTAATATCGAGGCTAGGGTGACTTCGTTCTGCGAGGGTTTAAACATATCCTTCACTGGAGACGAAGATATTGTTTAGTGACAACCATGAGTTAAGGGTGAGAAAGTTTGTTTGAGGATTTCGTGAGGAGTGGGGAAATAATACTTCTATATGTATACAAGAGTTATCATTAATATGTGAGTAAGAATTCCCTTTAATGGGTTTGAGGTTGACGTCTTGAAGTCTGTCAGTGTCGCCTTCTTCCAACTACATCCCAGTAGTTGAGCTTTTATTAGGGGAATACGAATTTCCTTTAACGGGTTCAAGGCTCGGACGCGTATCCCAAAATGCGCCAGTATGATGTGAGTTGGCCGCAGCCAAGACCACGAGGTCACAAGTTAATGATAATTCATTTGATGGTTTGAAGCGCCAAGGTTCCCAACTATCTGGTTCTGTTTCGCGTATCCGCCTCTCTCAGGCACCAACTTCATGGGGCAACAAGTCCCTAAGTAATGCAACAAATCCTAAAGCCCCTGAAGCTTAGGAGGAAGCCGCTGACCATGCCCCATTAGAGAGTTATTCAGGAGGCCCATTTAACACATGTTTACTTCATCTCTATGCATACCATGCTCCTAGGCATGTCTGAGAACGAGAGATATTTTCTTCTTCTTTTGCAATAAATATGTTTTCAACTAAGTAGATTGATGTTGAATATTGTATTTGTCTTTTTACACGAGCTTACGTGTTTGAAATTAGTAAAACACGGTCAAAAGATATTAGAGTTGAGACAGACCACTACTAATTGGTTTCAAGATGTTATGTTACTATTTCCATGGCATGCAGGAAATTTTTGTATAAAGGTGGCAGTCTAAGACTTTGTTTTCCACCTTCCTATAGGCGAGATGACCATCACCTGAGATGATATATCATGCCTCTTGCATCTTTCCATAAGGAGAAAATTATTAAGCCACAAATGGTCATTGTGATGATAGTTATCCATTTAGGGGCTGACCTAACTAAGGTTTCAAAGGAGGCGGTTGACGCAAAAGGTGCTCAAGAAAGATTTAGAATATTTGAATAATCTTTATAAAGACCATCTACAATGGGTTGTGGATGCCGAAGGTGATAATATGCAAGCTGAGCATCATCGAACTTGTGCATTGAGGTGTTACCTTTGGTTCTTGGTTGGCTTGTCCATGTGTGTAGACAAAAGTTCAACCTATGTCGATGTGGTATACCTTCAATACTTCATCGAACGCCACACCCTATCATGACACCAGACGCTTTTGAAGACCACTTAGAGCTAACCGGAAGGTACTTAAGGTTTGGGATGATCACACCAAGGACGTGTCAGCGGTCTGTTGATGTGTTGTGGAGATGCGTAGAGCAAGCATAAAGTTATGACTTTTTATGAAAGGTAGTCCTTAGTTGGCGCTCGTGGAGAACATCATTGTCGAGTTACAAAGTTTCGTGCACTACAGACAGGGGAGAAGGCAGAAGGTCAAACATACCCAGTAGTTTTGTTTGAATGTATTATGTTTTTGTATTTTCGGACAAATGTTATGTATACTCTTAACTTTTTAAATTAATGTATGACATTTTACTTTCATTTAACTTTAATACAAACTTAATTTTACTTTGATATAACTTGGCCTCAAAAAATTGCAATGATAAGACAATGATGCTACTCTGAAATGATTCAAGGAATTTTCGAAAATGATAACTTCCTCTTGCCATTAACATGATTCCAATATAATTTAAAATACTTTCAAACACATTTCGAAGACGTGTCTCTAAAAACCCTAATGAACATACAGAGACGTATCTCCAAATCATATTTTGTTCAAAATAAGGTAGATCTAAAAAAAATGAAGTCTGATGTGATTTTGAATGTGTCTTATTAGAGTAGTTCAACATTATAATCTCATAACTCACATGTGTAAGTCTGAGTAGTATTAGTAACATGTAACTATAGGTCTTTAGACAATTTAGAACCTGCTACTGCAGGTGATTTAAGTGCTAGTAAAACCTGCTAGTGCAAGTCACATAACTAATTACAACCTGCTAAGACAGGTTAGTATTAGCTTTGTATAAAAGGCAAACAGATGTAACAAATCAATCAATGAAAAATAGAAATCAATATTAGTTATAGAAATCAATCAATGAAAAAATTTTTTTGGGTTAAACCTAATTACAAATTACTAACAAAATATGAATCATTTTCAGGGATGAATCATCTCTTACTTCCATCTCACCACTAGGCGGAACACATACATTAAGGATTGGTTGTGTGCTGCCACATTTATTTCGTACAAGGGGATAATGCGGTCGAGCAATTCAGAGTGAATCTTGACCGTCATGTAATAGATAACATTTGCTTATGGCAATACAAGGCTTACCGTGAGGTGCATCAATTTGACATCTGGGTCGTCTCTTATATATCCTTATCTTTCAGAGTGAGTGATGTGGAAGTTTGATTATCTGGAAATTATTTTGATACCCCTATGAATTTGCTCCTCCCACCATCTGTTGTAGAGATCTTGATCCGATACTTGACAATTTCGAGAGTCATATGGTACAAAAGGAGTATCGCAGGGTACTAGCTCTTGTAGAGTTAGGGATGGCAAACAAACTCAAAACTGCCCTAAAATTAACAACGAAAACCCGATTTAATTAGGTGCGGGTGCGAAAGAAACACGATTCTTAACTACAAGTTCGAGTGCGGGTAGACACTAAGACCCGCCCCTACCCCGCCTCGAATAATGCATTTTAATTTAATTTCTTTATTTTATTTATTTTAATATTTATTTATTAATTATATTTTAAATTAAATTATTAATATCCTTATTGCTATTAAAATAATCAATTTAATATTCATTTACTAATTAAATAATTAATTAATTTATTAAATAATTAATTTTCTAAAATTAATTTATTAATTTTTATTGCAATTAAAAAAAAATTAATTTTTTACGGGTGGGGTCAAGGTGGGTGCGGGTGCACCTATTCTCCACTGGGGGCGGGCTTGAGCGGTAAATTTTTACCTTTGATTGGGCTTGGGGCGGGGACGGATGTGTTAAATGGAGGCGGGTATAGTTAAACCCGCCCCCGCCCTGCTTCGTTGCCATCTCTATGTACAGTAGGTCTATGCAGACGACTACATAAGATTGATTTTATAGAACGTCACACCCTATCATGACACCAGATGCTTTTGAAGACCACTTAGAGCTAACCGGAAGATACTTAAGGTTTGGGATGACCACACCAAGGACGTGTCAACGGTCTGTCGATGTGTTGTGGAGATGTGTAGAATAAGCATAAATGCATGACTTTTTATGAAAGGTAGTCCTTAGTTGACCCTCGTGAAAAACATCATTGTCGAGTTACAAAGTGTTGTGCACTACAAACAAGGGAGAAGGCAGGAGGTCAAACTTACCCAATAGTTTTGTTTGAATGTATTATATTTTTGTACTTTCGGACAAATGTTATGTAACTCTTAATTTTTTAAATTAATGTATAACTTTTTACTTTCATTAACTTTAATACAAACTTGATTTTACTTTGATATAACTTAGCCTCAAAAAATTGCAATGTTAGGACAATGATGTACTCTGAAATGATTCCGGAAATTTTCGAAGATGATAACTTCCTCTTGCCATTAACATGTTTTCAATAAAATTTAAAAGACTTTCAAACACATTTTGAAGACGTGTCTCTAAAAACCCTAATGAACACACAAAGATGTATCTCCAAATCATATTTTGTTCAAAATGAAGTAGATAAAAAAAAAACGAAGCCTGGTGTGATTTTGAATGTGTCTTATTAGAGTAGTTCAACATTGTAATCTCAGAACTAGCATGTGTAAGTCTAAGTAGTATTAGTAACTTGTAACTACAGGTCTTTAGACAGTTTAGAACCTGCAGTAGCAGGTGATTTAGTTGCTAGTAAAACCTGCTAAGACAGATTAGTATCAACTTTGTATAAAAGTCAAACAGTTGTAACAAATCAATCAATGAAAAACAAAAATCAATATTAGTTATAGACATAAAAATTTCCTTTCTCTTCTCTAAATCAATATTAGTTATAGACATAAAAATTCCTTTTTTAATATGTTTGAAAATATATCTCTGAACGCATGAAGGACATTTTTGAATTTTAAAAAATGTGAAATGCACACCTATAAATCATGAAGGACATTTTTGAATTTTAAAAAATGTGAAATGCACACCTATAAATCATGAAGGACATTCTTAAGATGTCAAATTTTTTTATTTAAATCATGAACTAATTTTTTTAATAGACTCCCAGAGTACTTTATTTACTTAAATTCATTAATTTTAAATAAGTCCTTATACTTGTAATATTGGTGCGAGTTCCTAAATATAGGAACCTAATTACGAATCATTTAAAAGGTTAGAGATTCAATAAAAAAAATTTGGGTTAGACCTAATTACAAATTACTAACAAATTCATATATCTAATCTCAATTTGTTTTAGTTGAACAACCTATTTAAAAAACTTAAAATAGTTTGGCGATTAATTAAACCATATAAAAATATTATCTTATCAACTTTATTTTGTTAACCAAATCAAGTTTAAGTACATCCATCTGTCACGAGCAATCACCAAACACGAAATTTTGATACTATAACCTTATTGAACTTCATCCTGTTTTCAAATAGTTTAGGCATAACATAAAGTCATCATTTACAACTAGGTATGAATTATCGATTTTTAAAGCTACATACATTATCACATCCCATCATATATGAATTACAAAGATAATATATACTACTAGTATACACATAGAGAAAGTGCTATTTATGTTCAAGATCATTTATTTGCTTTTTTAAGAGTGCGTGTTCATACCGCATTCTTTCAAGCCTAGTCTCAACCATATACATCTCATCTTTAAGGTGATGAACTCTTTTCTCTAGCCATGCTATGTCTGAAGAACTTCTAGTTACTCCACTGTCCATCTTATTCATAAAGTCTACAGGAGGATTCATATGTATATGTTGAGGTCTGGACAAGAGCACAAGTATGCTAAACTGCTGGCAACAGAATAAAGTAAAAGTATTAAGCCTGATAATGGAAGTAGCAGATTACAAAAGTGCAACAATACTTAAAATAGACCATTATAGAATAGCCCTGAAACCCAAGTCATAACAACTGTTGACTTTGAAGAATAAACCAGAATAGTCAAAACAAGATTACAAGAGGTATCAAGCTGAAAGATATAAACCAGGGAACTGAAGGGTTAAGTGGGGGTGATTCTTTTTAGTCCTAATAAATATTAAAAGGTCATCCTAGGACACTAGACTACCGCTTTGAACCCATGACTAACAAGGCAACAATAAATTTATTGTTGCGCCAAGAATTACTATTCATATTCATAATTGAACAGCAAATATACTAAATTAGGATTCTTCACAATTTTCCCTTTTATTATGTAAAAAAAAGGGGTTGAATAATTATTTTTTGGTAAAATGAAATTTAGGGTGAGAGGATGATGCCCGGTCAAAGGTATGAAAGACCTTTAAGACTAAAAGAGCACTCACAAAGGGATTTACATTTACTTCCCTGCTAGGACACTAGCAAAACTTGAATAATTTTTTATGTTCAGAAAGGAAACCAACACAAGTGCACTATAACTTAAACAGTCACATAGAAGTGGCTAAATGCTCCTCTTCGGGAAGGAAAAAAAAGAGACTAAACGCTGACTATAGCATTTTGATGCTAGTAATTGCAGCAACATTTTGATGAACAGTTTAATTTTGGTACCAAACAAATAAGTACTGCTAGTCTGAAGTTCTTGCCTGAACTTCATGACTAATCCACAAAGCAAGAAAAGGCTTAAATCTAAACTCAAGGTTTTAAGTACACACCTGCATGACGAAAATCAGCGCAAAAATGGCAACTAGGAGCAGTGAAAGATTGCTCTGACTTTTCAAAGATGACCTAATCTTTGTCGCAAACTCTTTGAACAAAGATGGAACAGACGACGTGTCAATGAAGTTTCCTTGCAATTGAGAACTAACATTGTGAATAGCGTCAATGACATTGGATGTAGTTTGTCTCCTTGTAGGAGTACTTTGATCCTGTGGTCCTTCTGAAGATTCTCCTGTCTTTGCTTCTCTGTCAAAATTCATTTTTCCATTTTGAGCTACAGCAGCAATGGGACCATTTTCTGCCTCAGAGAAAGTAAATTACAAATCTTAAAAAATAGGACATTTTATTGACGCCAAAATTATATGGAAGGAAAAAGGAACTTCAAAATTTAAGAAAATATAACACCATACCTTGTTTTTCAAGGTTCTTCTGTTTCAAGAACTCGTGTGCCTGAAAGGAATATTGATACACTCTTAAACCGACATTTAAAACAAAACATGGAAGATCAGCCAAACTAAAAATGTACAACGTTAAAACATAAGAATACCATGTTCATCCATGTCGCATAAGCATCTCTACATTCATCAACTGTTGATTGTACTATTTTGCCTGTGATTGTTCACCCACTTAGAATCAAGAGAAGTTCAAATTCATCACAAACAACTATCAAGTCTTATCCCACTAGGTGAGATCAGCTACATGGATCAAATATGCAATAAAAGTATCTCAAAATATCTTGATATCATGTTATGGTATTTCAGTTTAACTCGGAAGATTAGTTTCTAATGTTAGGGTATCTTATACTACTTGATTATTATTATGATAAGAAGGTTTTCAGAAGAAGCAGAATCTGATGATCTGCACAGCGCCAAACCATCCCCTCAGTCACGTGCTCTCCTGCACCATCACAGACACACATCTTCTCCAGCATGTGAATTACACGGGCCGCTTTCCCAGAGGCCATTTGCGATGATGCTCTTTCCGTTGTGTTTGCTGGCCTCTCCTCTCCCTGGTTGGACGTTGTTCATATTATTTCTCTTCTCCTTTATTCAAAAACCCATAACTTCAACAATGTTCATGACTCCTAGAATGTGTCATTGGTGAGGATTGCCCCCACTTATAAACATATGATCAAGCCATATATTGTCCGATGTAGGACTCTTTTAACACACCGACTCGCGCCCAGGATTGGATATCTCGAGTGTGGACATAAATGGTGGGTGGTCCACAAGCTGAGGCAAATAAGAGATGTTTTTCTTTACTTTTAGATCTTATCTCGAAAACAACTAGGCCATGCTCTTTGATAAGACCAACATACGCTACCATGGAAGAAATCAAAGACTCAAAGGAACCTACCTACCCCTAAATGTTGATAGAAATGAGTACCATATTACATAAAGCACGGTGATTTACCATGATACAAAATTTATATAAATCAAACATAATCAACTGTGTACATATAAAATATTATTTACAAAGGAAACCAATAGAATATTCTTACAGAATGTTTATAAAAAACCATACCTCTCCAGATAGTTTTCTTGGAAAATTCCACATTCACATATACCCGTAAAATGCAGCGTTCTTTTGATTCATCTTTGTCTCTCTCTACACTCCACAGCCCCTGGAAATTCAAAAAAGAAACAAGTTATAAGTAAAACCGACAATTCATTGGATAGGGAAATACAAAGTTACTAAACCAGAGATAGAAATAGCTCAATAATGTTCAATAAATAAAATAAAGCACAATTACAACCCAATTGTCCCAAACTTTGGCGATTAAAATGTTCGTAGCCTAACTACTTGTCATTTATTTTGAAAAAAGACAACAATAATCTCACTTTTCGTGTACCGCAGTCATCATTATCAGAGAGAATGTGCAAATTTGTTCTCCAAGTGTACTACACTGTTTGTTGAAAAGCTTATTCGAGGCCATCATTTCAACTTTTCTTTTATACGAGTTTCTGTTGAAAACAGTTTATTCAATCTGGCTCATAGAATTGTTTGCTGATGTTCCCTTGCTTTCATGTTTCAACTCTAATAACAGCATCTCTGTTCATGTCATATATGGTACTTCAATTAAGCTGAAAGTCATCCTCCACGGACCTCAAAATGAAACAGACTCGTGTATTGGGCTGCAACTAAGCTGTCGCGGTGGTCTAGTCCCTAGTCCCCTCACATTTCTTAATAAACGATTCAACAGATGGCCTTAAGCTGAAAGTTAATTTGGCAATGGACCAAACTTAGAAGTTTGAACAATACCCTCATTTTATAGCCATCAAGTTCTCAAATAAAACACCGGTAGTTATATAGCAAAATGGTTAAAAAAACACCAGGGGGAATCTCATTTTTATAATAATGTAAAATTATAGATAAAGAGGGATTGAAGAGTGTTAGATATGGCAAAAACATCACTTGAAAAGCTAGAAAAATATGATAGTATTCATTGATAATGAGCAGTAACACTGCACACAAACAACAAGCAAGACTACGTGTTTTAAATTTAAAACAAATTATGATATTCAAAATTAATAAAAAGCTAGTATATTATGCCTAATGATTCAATGTCTCGAGATGTTTTGTACCTCAACTTGAAAATAATCTGCATAAGGTACGTCACTGACTTCTTGCGATGTTTGTATAACCAAATGACTGGATAAAGTAACAGATACATGTCAATATAAAATAACTTTCTAAAACTTCATCATATATTTCATGTATTCAGTGCAGTAACTTCATTCCTAAAAGAAAAAAGAGAACATAAAAGGGAAGATGAATTAATGCCAAATATTGTACTGATGTACTGATAATCAGAAGTCATAGCACTAACCTGTTCCTATAAACTCGATATTTCTGTACCTCATGGCAGCCACCCAATTTTGCTCCTGAAAGGAAAAACAATTATGTTAAATGGCAGAAAGGAACAGCTCCTCAAACATTTTCAAAAATCCTTGAAACTATCAGAGAAAGATTATTAGTGTCCAACAGAAGACGTTGGGAAATGTCCCCATAACAATCACTTAAATTTATTTGTCACATTAATGCACAGTTTTATAAGTAGTGAGTACTTGTGTAGCTTTTGCTTCTAATAGTTTTATTATCTATTGCATTTAGTCAACTTAGTATTAAAAATTTACTTCAGGCTTTAGATATATAGATCATTATAAATTTATAACTTTACGAAGACGGTGTTGATGGCCATGATCCTATTAAAAGTTCTAAATTAGTTCAACATTTTAGCCATTTACTTTGGTTCCCTTAAAATTTGAGTTCAAGCTCCACTATCTAATATTCAATAACCTGTAAAATTATTAAGGCAGAACAAAACTAAGCTAGGGAAAGAAGAAAAAACTATACAGTGCACATGTGATATAAACCAGCAGAAGCATACCAAGATAAATTTTTATTGGATGTTGAAATGACAGATCACGGGAATACCCAAATTTCTCTTGAGGATGCCATGAAGCACACTTAAAATCTGAAATAAAAATAAAGAAAATATCATCCTCCCCAAAACGACAAAGCATGGGAAAAGACATCAGTTAACTATTCATTCCCAGAAAATATATTAAATGATAGAGAGGAAAGCAAACAAGACTAGAAAATGAAAATGGAAATTAAAATGTACTCCCTTGGGACACTAAGATAAACAAAAAAACTAATTTCACATTGATAAAGAAGGTTAGTTAAGTGTAGTTAGTTTTCAAGATTTCATGTAAAAAAAAAATTTAATTTACTAAATTATCCTTTTTGATAGTTAATTGATCAACTGTGCATTAAATGTTTTTGAATTCAATGAAGAATATATAAGGAATATTAGCATTGAATAGTTTATAAGTTATTGACTTTTGCTTATAATATTGACCAAAACTTGAGATCATTTTTTTGCATATCATAGTGATCAACGGGAGATAGGCTCAAGAGTTTCATGCAGACTACCTTTATCGCCGCATCTTTCACGGAAAGACTCAAGAAAATTTACAGCATCATCCGAGAAAAAGTACCTAAAGAAGTCTTCAACCTTTATCTGCAGTTTGTAAATTAGAAACTGAGAACGACTTCATAAATTTGAAAGTTAATATCATCAAATTAGTCATGGAATCTTCAAAAAGTACAACCAGACATGATAATTTCAAATAAGATAATACCGGAAATATTGATTCTGCAACACACGTATAAGCTTCTGGGGCTGCATAACAGAAAATAAGCTCAAATCATCAGCCTCTTTGCATGCACAAGCTATAACAAAGTGGATTGATGCATATGATGGACATTTACACATGAAGTGTTTCTTACTTGTACATGCATACAATGCTTCCTATTAGTTTGTACACATACATGCACCAATTTACAGAAACAACCAAAGAACAAATTCTTACATTTCATAATTGAGAAATGGGCATTTAAATATAGTAGTAATGCATGAACTGATGAACAAATATTCTGAAAAATACTGGACACACTGCAATGTGAGAATATACATAAATATGAACATGTAAATACACTTAAAGTGAATGTTGAAGTTATGGGTTTTAGACGAGAGTGGGAGAGAAATAATAAAAACTTCATTATTATTATTATTATTATTATTATTATTATTATTATTATTATTATTATTATTATTATTATTATTATTATTATTATTATTTATTGAATGTAAACTAGAGTTAAGCTAAGAGTGTATCTCAAAACTGACACGTGTCAGTTTTGTATAGCATTCACCTGCTACTGCAGGTCACCTAGTTCAGTCTATAAAATCAGTTTGTAACTTACTATTTTAACTAACTTTTGAAGAAAGAGAAAACAGTTATGATGAAACTAAATTCTATCTCATAGTTTTCTAATATGGTATTAGATAGCTAGGCTGATCCATGGCGGAAACCTCTCCACTGGCGTCACCTTCACCGGAGGCCTCCTCTGCGCATGTCACCACCTCTCCAGCGCCGGCGATTTCGTCTCAATTCGAGGAATTGCGTTGTCTTCACTTCTCTCTCAAGATCGCGCAAAGCTACATGAAAAGAACTTTCATCTATGGCGCCAACAAGTGGAACCGTGCATCAACGCGCATGACCTCACCGATCTTGTGGTATGTACTCGAGTTCCACCTAAACTTCTTGATGATGAAGCTCGTCACAATGGCACAGTAAATCTGGTGTACTCCACCTGGATTCAAAAGACCAGATGTTACTTTCGTGGCCAACAAGTGGAACTGTGCATCAACGCGCATGGCCTCACCGATCTTGTGGTATGTACTCGAGTTCCACCTAAACTTCTTGATGATGAAGCTCGTCACAATGGCACAGTAAATCCGGTGTACTCCACCTGGATTCAAAAAGACCTGATGTTACTTACATGGCTTCAGTCCACGTTATCCAGTGAAATCCTCTCGCGTGTTCTTGGTTGCTCCCATGCTCATCAGCTATGGGATCATCTGTTCTCGGATTTTCAGAAGCAAACACGAGCTCATGCTCGTCATCTCCGTGTTGAGCTTCGCTACATTACGCTAGATTTGCTTTCTGTTCAGGATTATCTACTCAAAATTCGTACGGTTGAAGATGTGTTGGCTTCAAATGGAGATCCTATTCCACCATCTCATCACATTGATGTGATTTTTGAGGGACTCACTGCTGAGTATGCACCTGTTGTTTCAGTCGTTGAGAGCAAGTTTGGACTTATAGACCTTGATGAGGCTTTCTTCTCCTTGCACATGAACTCAGGCTTACTAAGTTTCAGAAGAAGTCTCTTCCAGATCTTGTTTCTCTCAACCTCACATGTGACGCCTCCATCTGCTCCTGTTGATGAATCTCAAGCTCCTAGTACTGATTCTTCTTCATCTCAAGCTAGTCATTCTCATGTGGAACCAGATTACAACTCTTTTCGTGGTGGTAGGTCTAATCGTGGTGGCAGATTTGGCAGAGGTCGCGGCGGCACTTTTGTTGCCAACACTCTACCTTCATCCTCCACTTCCTCATCCTGGTTCCCTGACTCAGGCGCATCTTTTCATGTTACAAATGATGCTAAAAACATTTCACCAACCAACTCCCTTTGAATACCATTTTTAAATCTTTGTAAGCAATGGTCAAGGTTTGAACATCCTCTCTGCTGGAGTCAGTAATTTCCCTGCACCTTGTCAAACACACACACAACTCACTCTCAATAATTTACTACTTGTGCCCAAAATAACCAAAATCTTAGTGTCAGTCAATTCTCAAAGGATAATAATGTGTACTTCATTTTTCTGCTAATAAAGGTTTCTGATGGTGTTCTGCTTGAAGGGCATGTAGGACTGGATGGACTTTATATGTTTCCTACTCTTGATGTGTCCAAGTCTGCTCAACCATCTAGTTCGTCTTGTTTATCTTCCTCAAATAATTGTGTACCTAATGCTAATTCTGTTGGTGTAGACTCTAGTTTGCCTTATGTTTGGCACTTAAGGTTGGGTCATCCCCATGTTCACAGTCTTAAAGTTGTCTTACAAAGTTGTAATGTTCCCTTTCACAATAAATACAATGACTTGTTTTGTGCTGCCTGTGTACGGGAAAAGCTCACAGACTTCCCTCCTCCACATCACACACATCTTACACAAAACCCTTACAGTTAATCTATGCTGATTTGTGGGGGCCTCTCCAAGGACATCTGCATCAGGGTATCATTATTACATGTCCTTTGTTGATGCTTATACAAAATTTACTTGGCTTTATCTTCTAAAGACCAAATCTGAAGCTCTTAATGTTTTCAAGCAGTTCAAAACAATGGTTGAACTTCAATATGAACTTCCCATCAAAGTGGTTCAGTTTGATTGGGGTGGGGAGTTCAGACTCTTTACCAAGTTCCTTAATGATCTTAACATTACTCATAGGCTCATCTGCCCTCATACTCATCATCAGAATGGAGTGGATGAGAGGAAGCATAGGCACATTGTGGATCTTGGTCTCACCCTACTTAGTCAGGCCTCCTAACCGTTGACTACAAGTTTCTCAAAGTTTTTGGGTGTGTTTGCTTTCTTTTACTCAGACCTTATAACACCCACAAACTTGATTTTAGATCCCAAGAGTGCCTTTTCCTGGGCTACTCCACTTCACACAAGGGGTACAGATGTCTAGCACCTACTGGCAGACTTTACATTTTCAAAGATGTGTTGTTCAACGAGGGAAGGTTCCCTTATCCTGACTTACTCCCCAACTCTACTCCAATTTCCTAATCTGTAAAGAACATATCACCTCTTGGTTTTGGCCCTCCTCTTCTCTCCTGAAATCCTTTTACATCTTTTTCTCCTCCTTCACAAAATAGTCTTGTTGCTACTTCCACTTCTGAAGCCTCCTCATCCACAAACCCTGAAGCTAATTCATCTGGAGCTTCTCCTCAAGCTAATTCTCCCAATCCATCTGATGTTGTTCCTCCTGCTTCCTGCTCAAGTCCCATGCCTTCCCCTACATCTCACACTTCTCCCTCTTCTTCCACTACTTCATCTTCTTTCAGCTCTTCAACAGAGTCACATGCAGCCACCCCTCCATTAGCTATTCCTGTTCTTTCTAAACCTCACAACTTGCACCCTATGCAAACCAGAGCCAAGTCTGACTTTGCTCAACCAAGACTTCAATCCAAACTGTTACTCACTCATGTTGAACCAAAAACTCCCAAACAAGCCCTTGTTGATCCACAAAGGAAAGCTGCTATGCAAGTTGAGTATGATGCTTTGATCAAAAAATCAAACATGGTCTCTTGTGCCCTTACCACCTCACAAACATGTCATTCATTGCAAGTGGGTCTTTAGAATTAAAGAAAATCCTTATGGTACTGTTAATAGGTTTAAGGCCAGGTTAGTGGCCAAAGGCTTCCATCAAAGGCATGTTTTTGACTTCAATGAAACATTCTCGCCAGTTGTGAAACCTATCACCATCAGAATTGTTCTTACCATAGCTATCACCCATAACTGGTCACTTCAGCAACTCCATGTCAATAATGCCTTTTTAAATGGGTTGCTTGATGAAGAAGTTTTCATGAAACAACCTCAAGGGTTTGTTCAAACTGATCCTTCTGTTGCGTGTAAAAGCTCAACAAGGCCTTGTACGGCCTCAAGCAGGCTCCCAGGCAGTGGTTTGATAAACTTCAGACCACCTTATCCAAACTGCATTTTCAGGCCAGCAAATGTGACCCAAGGCCATACTATCTATCTCCTTGTCTATGTTGATGAAATTATCATCACAGGGTTCTCCTTCTCTTCTGCAAGACATCATCACAAAGCTCAATGTTGCCTTTTCCCTTAAATTACTTGGCACTCTTGATTATTTTCTCGGCATTGAAGTCAAACATGCTGCTTCTGGGCTTATTTTACTTACTCTGTCCAAGTACCAAAGGGACCTACTCCAAAGAACCAATATGCTTGAGTCTGCCCTGTCAACACCCCTATGCAGTCATGATGTAAACTTACCAAGACAGGCCCTCCAGCTCTTTCTGATCCCTACATGTACAGATCAGTGGTCGGGGCACTCCAATATGCCATCATCACTAGACCTGATATTACCTTTGCAGTCAATGAGATGTGTCAATACATGGCACATCTTGAAATTCATTGGATTGTTGTCAACAGGATTTTAAGATGTCTTAAGGGCACTCCCCACCATGGTCTGTTACTTCCTCCTCTGTCCCCATCTGTCTCTCCCACTCTCCAAGTCTACTGTAATGCAGATTGGACCTCAGACCCTGATGATAGAAGAAGCACCTCAGGTGCAGCTATCTTCTTTGGTTCAAGTGTCATATCTTGGTGGTCAAAGAAACAGCCAGTTGTAGCCAGATCCAGCACTGAAGCTGAATACAGATGTATGGCTCAGGCAACAGCAGACCTTCTTTGGGTGCAAACTCTTCTCAAAGAACTTTGCATTACCACTACTCTTCCTGTTATATATTTGTGATAATCAATTTGCAGTGCTTCTGGCTCACAACCCTGTTCTCCATTCTAAGACCAAGCATATGGAGATTGATCTCTTCTTTGTTAAGAGATAAAACCCTGTTCTCTATTGATAGTGCCTTAATACAAAAGAATAAACACTAACCCTAGAAGATAATAATCAAACAAATCAAGAAACAAATTTGTTTTCCCTAGAAGAGGATACTGTTGTGCAGAATTGCAGAGAAGGAGAAGGGATGCTTAGTTGCAGAGAAGAAGAAGAAATAACAGAGGGAGTGGCACTGTTTTACTATTGCAACAGCTCTATTTTTCTTATTTTAAAAGATAGGGGAGTTGAAAGGTCAGTCAGTGAGTTGAGAATATTACCTCAGTAAAAAAAAAGGAAAAAATAAAAAAAATCCTAGGAAATAATCTAAGATTGGAAACTGGTCCAAGGAGAAAAACTAAAATACTCTAATATAATATCAAAGATATTATAATGTATTTTCTTGCATTCTAACAGTACCAATTACTGGCCACACTAAACTATGTATCTTCATCCCTAAATCCTAATGGAAACTAGTTTATCAAAGATGAAAATAATCTTTGCAAAAAGGCCAGGAAAACAGGTAAGATGTGTTCCTAAGGTAACATATGGAAGAATATAAATTAAACCAAGACAATAAATTTCTAATAATATCCATTAACGACATTCTGCTTGGTTTGAGACATCTGTCGAATAATTTCTAGGCAAAATAATTGAGATCTTTTCCTTCAGATCAATCTTTAAATGACTACAAACTTTCGTGCATAAACATGAATCCGAAATATATACATATAAGCTATGTTACCAAACTCGTGATTCCAAAATATATATACATAAGTGTAGGTATGTTTCCAAACTCACTTGTCGGAGCATCAAGATCCTCCTCATTCCAGCTCCAACTCACTCTAGGGGGATTATTATTATTCAATTCAGACTCAGCAACTTCAACACTGAATTGCTTCTCTGGAACATCCATCAATATAGGGCCTTCTCCAACAATGGATGGAACTCCCACATCTTTGCAAATAGAAGTACCTTGGCTCCTGATTCACACACATAAGTAAAGTGTATATGAGTTGCATATAAAATAATGTCTTCTAAAGCAACAACTCATGATCACGAACATACGGGTCAGTAGAAAGTGCCTCATTGTCAAGTATATCAGAACTTTTGACATTTTCAACATTTACGAATCCAACCTCTTGGCCGTTGGACTCCGATTGGGATTCCTGAAGTAAGATAACAATATGAATGCAAAGGTAAAACTAGTGCAATTTCAATCAACTAACTGTGGTTTAAGATATTTTTACTGAAAAGTATTTCAATTATACAGGAAACAGAATAGTGAAAATAATAGCTAAAACGGAACAATCTTGTATAACATGTGATAGGAATGGAATGCATACTGAGAAAGACAATCACGTGTTCTCAAGAGGAAAAAGAACAATGAATCCTTTAAATGAAAAAAGAACAAGAGAATATACATTCAACTTATAAAATCCTTTGAGAAACTTCTCCAATCACAACCGTTTCAAGGAAGAATATAGGCTTTGCTTATTTGTAGTGTAATATTTAGTTAATGACAGCTATAGCCTATAGCCACTATCGATAACAGAATTTATTTTCATTAAATACATAAAATATATTCAATATCCAAATTTAGTCTTGGTTACACTAGCATTTAGCTTGAAATTGTTATATACTCTACGGATGTGTCGGTGTCTCTAATCAAGATGAATTCTAAATTTAGTCTTATCAACCAGGGATTTATCTAATAAAGCTCATCCTAAATCAGCCTAAATGCGTCTTGTCACTAACCACAAGAACCAATTGGAAAGACTTGTAAGTCATACCAGATCTTGATGTAACTCAATTATTGGACTTCTCCATGGCTTCCTCTCTAATTTTCAAACCAGATTCATTATCCATCAAAAGATTACTATAGTAGAAGAGGAATACCACTCTTTCCTAGAACCCAACATATTACCAATGCAGAACATTATATTGATACATACTACAAAAACTTATTAACATTTAGTATAGTGAAAGATTTCTGTAGTAAAATACCTGCTGTTCCATTATTACTCTGGCATCGTTTCCCTGTCGCAACCATCCCTCGTTAATAATCTTAAAAGCTTCATCACGGGATAGAAACGATGCAAAGAAGTGCTGTCAAATAAATAAGTGGATTAAGACATTTCAGCAACGTTAAAGAGAAAGACAAGTGTGAAAATAATACAATGTGACAAGTGAATTGGAATACAATGTAGCATTAGTGCTGCTCAATGTCTAACACACCTTCTTGCTTCCGGAAAGAATCTCAATGGCATTGGGAAATATCCCAGCTGTCTTTGCCCTCCGTACGCCTGTGATTTCAGGGAGAGGGATAATTCTCTAAAACATGAAGCATTGAGATTTTTAGGTGCAGCTCTATTGAAATTTAAAATCAAAAACGTGAAGCATTGAGATTTTTAGGTGCAGCTCTATTGAAATTTAAAATCAAAACCACAAGTGAAAAGACTCTTCGTTATTACAAATATGAAACTGAGACTGTTTTTTGTTTAAAATTCATATTCAACGGCATCACCAAAACTCCAGACACTTTAAATGATGTCTATGTATGCATGCATGCATGCATGCATGAGTGAGTAATGCATATGAATCTATGTACATAAATATGTATTTGCCTATATGTGTGTCTGTGTGTGTCACTATATATTATACAAATGGTCCCTGCAATAGGGATTATTTTGATTTCAATTTGACCCTGGAATTTCAAAACACTTCCAATTTAGCCCCCTCATGTGCCTTTTTTTGAAGTGGACATAAATGACAATGTATGTGTGACTCTGCATATTACTTCTTGACTCATTAGAACATATTTTTAATCATCTAGTTATCTCTATTAATCATTTTTTATTTTTTAAATTAATTTTTGTAAAAAAGAAAAATGAAAATACTTCAAACTTTTAAACAAATACACATAATCTTTCTTCTCCAGAAACTTAACTTGATCACTGTGACTCTTCCTCATCATTCTCCAACCTCTTCAACAACACATCAAACATACCATCATAAGATTTTTATCCAAATTCAATTTTTGTTGTGTAGAGTAGATAACATGTTACCAATTAGATGCTTTTCTGGAACAATCTAACTGAATGCTTAGACCCCTTTTTTTGTTGAAGAATCTCAGACCTCAATTGAAAATACAGATCAAGATCCGTGACGAAAACCATAAAATTGACCCCATGGATCGTTAAGGACAAAACTTGGTTTGATTGAAAGACAAAATCAAGATCCAACAGAAGGTTGAACTGGTTGGTGAGATGGAGGAGAAATCGAGGGAAAAGAAAACGAGATCTGAAAATGCGGCACAAGAAGAAATTGGGGTTGCAGTCTAATTTTGACTCCATCAACATTCAGATCTGGTTTAGCGTTTCATTTCTAATCTTGTTTACAGGCCCGGTATGTGATGAAGAATAGGGTTGAAAAGCCTTAGGGATGAGAAGGAATTCTGGATTTTTGGATTGAGATCCGTGAGGGATAATGAATATGAAGTTGAAAGACAAATAATTGAGATTTCTGAATAAATAATACTTTTTCTTTTTTTTAATAAAAATAATTTAAAGTATTTAATTAGTGGCTAATATTGAGGAGAAGCGAATCAGCATAGAATTATCCACATCATAAAATCATGTCCATTTTCACAAAAGAAATATGATGAAGACCATATTAAAAATGTTAAGAAATTGCAAGCATAAATTGAAAGAAAACTTTTTACATGTTTAAGCCTAAATACAAACATAATATACATATGCATTTATATGCATAATATTTAATACAATACAGATATGACTTATAGAAACTAGAAAGTGATGATTTGTTTCAGAAAACTAAAAAATAAAACAAAATTCTGCCACGTGTAGCTTAAAAGCAGAAGCCACTTGGATTGGCAAGCCTTAACTTACAACAAAAAGCAATGTCGTTGAGTTTTTTAATGTACCGTTCCAGTGAGCCTTAAAAGAAAGCCACAATCATGAAGATCAACATAACAGAAACAGATATCTTTTAGAAAGCAAATTATTATATTATAAATATCGGTCATGAGGCACCATGGCGGACATCAGGGGCGGTTTTTGGACTCGCCGCAATAGTAAATATCGGTCAGTATTGCAGCAGGTATTTCCTGCCATAATCCTGCAACAGGTATTTTGGCCATAATCAGCTAGGACGGCACGACAAAGAGGCCAGTATGGCAGGATTTTGGGGGGTTTATGTTTCATCTTGGATGGAACCTTCATTTTATGGTTGTTTGAAAGACATAGCTTCTTCAACCTTTGTTAATAATCTCTCAGAAACTCATTTGTGCGTTCTCTAACCGTGACTGGGCAAAGCTTGATATGAATCATTCAATGTTCATAATATTTACGGATGTCTTGCAACAATAATAAAATTTGAAATCTCCTTGTTACGTATAGTTTTTTTTTATATTATCTTCTTAATCTTATGTTAGTCATTATTGGCATTTATGTGTCCTGGTACATACATTATACCATTGCCTGTGCACATAAAATTATGCTTAATGGTGTTCAGTTTTTTCTTCATATTTCTACTAACTTATTTATTTATGTACAGAATAATGTAGGTTGATATAAATACAATCTCTATCATGTAGATTTCAAAGATCTTACAAATAAAAAATAGATTTCAAAGTATAAGTTTAAATGCATAAACTATTATGTGAGCAATTTACCTTTGTCTCGAATCCAAAAATGTTTGAGTAGAAACAAATGTAATTGACGAATAGGTACATATGACCCTGCAGAACAAACAATAAAGAAACCATCAGGAAGGCTGATGAAAATACTACATGTTGAAGCAAACTTTGCTTTAAATTCAAAGGCATAGGTGAAATATAGTAGTGATCTTCAAATTGAAAAGATAAGGGAGGGACAGTACTAAAACCTATTTCGATATTACCATTTACTAACAAGTTATCACCATACTATTACCTGAATAAGGATGTTTTCCTGGAGAGCACAGTTAAAATCTTCGATTAGGACCTAAAGGAAAAGATAAACAAATAAGAAGTGGATTCAATTATGAAAAAAGAAAGGAGGAATCAAATCACTTGAAGTTCATAAACATCTAAAACAAAAAACTTATGAATGAGCACATTTCTAGCAATAATTATAACATTAATGGGGTACATGTAGAACAAAGTTGTAAGAAAAGAAAAGAGGAATCAAATCACTTAAAGTTCATAAGCATGTGAAACAAAGAACTTATGAATATGAATATGCACATTTCTAACAATAAGTATAATATTAATGGGGTACAAGTAAAACAAAGTTGTAATATATGTGATATGTTTTCCGATTTTTACCTCAAAGCTAGAATAGTGTGCTTCCAACAAAAATTACATTTCATATTCTATCTGACAAAAAAACATTTCATAATCTATCTTCTGCCTAAACAAACGCTATCTGCTCATAACACTTATGTCCATGCCACAATTCTAAGTTCTACTTAAGCTCTCTCAAATATTCAACTAAAACTATTAGTGTATGTACAGTAGCAAAGTATAGTGTGTTAAAATTACTGATGTAGGCATATCTAAAGCCTTTCTTTGATTTTAATCTGTGACTTCCAAAATATTATCTGCAAAGAATATTAATCAGGGCACCAGCTCTTAGATACGTTCAGTAAGCACACCCAATATCAAGGTAAAATGACAAGGGCTCATCAAAGTTGACTTATGGAACACAGTCCCTATAGTTATAACTATAAAGAAGTATTTTGTGGACCCGCGTTGTATTCTGACACTTCATGACCTGTTGTACTTATCGATTATTAATTCAAATTTGCGCTCATTTCTTTTCCAAACTCTTCCAAATCCTTCTCTGGATACCAAGAAAGCACTTACACTTCAAAACAGAGGCATGCCATGTCGCATTTGTATTAGACATTCAAATAAGACACTTCGGAAAAAAAAAATAGTTGTATTTTAAAATTTTGTACTTTAATATTGTTAAATGCTATTTTATACCAATACAAATAGGAACATAACATTTTACAATGTCTTCAACGACCCATGCTAACTTTAAAACAATCATCCTCTCTTTTAAGATCCAAGCATCTGTAGACTGTATTAACTTTATACCAACTTTATACCGTGCTATAATCTGTGCAGTTTGTAAGTCATCCCTATTTCTTATAAAAGGGGAAAATGAAACGAAGTACTTCAGCTCCACTTATTTTCCATGCTTCCAGGCCTACTATACAGTTAAAGGGAAAAACACAAATCTAACATAAACTAAAGATAAGGTTTGACTAAGATTTATAAAGAGTGACACCCCCCACCTTACAAGTCGGCCTTGTAAGGATGATTTAGGTTCATTATAAAAACTCAATATGATATTAGAGCCGATCGATGCGGGCCATCCACCATTTATATCCATACACCAAGGTCAATAATATTGGGCGTGTATTGGGAAAAATACATGTTAGATTAAAGATAAGGTCGGACTAAAATTTATAGAGTGGCACTCTCACCTTACAAGTCGATTTTGTAGGGATGATTTAGGCCAAATAGAAAACTCATTAAGAATGGATAAGGAACTGGTTGTGGATGCAAGAGTCAAGAGGAGAGTAAACGAAAACAATCAAGAAATTATTAATTATGTTATAAGGATCAAATGGTTGTATACAAAGGGTAAAATATCAAAGGAGCTTTGAGAGTAAGATTTTAAAGAGGGTTTGGTTGTCTTAGAATTTGGTTAGTCCAACTCAACCCCAAAAGTTAACTCACTTGATAAAAATTGTCTAGGCCTCATAAGGATTAATTTGGTCATAACTCTAGCCAATGTGGAATTTTAACACATACTCTCACATCCAAGACTGGATATTTAAAGCCTCGACAAAGATAGGTGGCCCATAGCATATCTAGATAGTCTTTCACATCACCTAAGAATTTGGGCTAAGCTTAATAAAAACCCAAACACTATCTCAGGGGTTGAGGATTGCCCGACACTTATAACAATTAACATGGTCATATCTCTAGTCGATGTGAGATCTCAACACATCGAAGATTGAGCATTTGAAGCATGGACAAAAATGGGTGGTAGATCTTAACAAGGAAACCTAGGGAGGTGCTAATGATTTGTTAAATGAGAGATGATTAGAGAGATTAGAAAGGTAGCTAATGGCAGAGATATTCTTGGTGAATCGATGGCCATTGGACCCGTGGTAAAGAATTTAGGAGTTGGAACACATGTGTAATACGTGGTTGAGGTTAAAATGGAGTGCTTAGGCATGACTTTGTGAGAAAAAATGCTAAACTAGAAATGTACTGAGAAATTAGTGAGTGTAGCTAGAAATTTACTTTATTACAAGCTATATCGATTATTAGGTACCAAAGCTAGTAAACAAAGTACCTATAGGTTAGCTAAAAGTAAAGAACAGAAAATAAGAGGCTTGAATCAAGTACAATACATTTAGGATGAAAAGAGAAGAAATTCTGAATCACAAAACAAAATGTCAACTCATCCCTACAAAACCGGCTTGTAGGGTGAGGATTGTCGCACTTATAAACACTACACAAGCCATATCACTAAGCAATTGGGACTAAATCCACCCCTTCAAACCCAACACAATGAAGGTGTTGGGGGTTGCAATGAAGTCAAGCCAAAATGCCACACTTAAGGCAACTAGGGGAGGACCGCAATTAAGTCGGAAATTCCAACACAAGGAAAGATGGAAGATTTACTTTTATAAGCATTTAACAAAGGACATGTGTTTTTAGTGAACTTCGATAAGCTAAACACTAGAGATGAGAATTAGTTAGGCAGTCAAGCTTATCCAAGACTGACTTTGGCATCCATGCAGAACTTAAATCTAATTTCCTTAATTAAAAATAAATAATTTGATGGAATGCCACCCTGCTTTTATAAGTGAAAACACACTTATCCCATTTCCTAAAATATGTGTTAACCCATTGTAAAATTGTAGGTTAAAGCAAAATCTATGATAGCTTCATTCTCTACATTTGTTTGCCACCCTCCCTATATGACCAATTGGATCACTTCCAGATAAAATGTTCACTTCTAGTGGTATTTCTTGAATTAAACCTTCTAAATTCTTCTAGGATAGCTTCAGTTTCTACATTTGTTTGTCTCCTCCCTTTATGACCATTTGGATCAGTTCCAGAGAAAATATTCACTCCTAATAGTATTTCTTGAATTAAACCTTCTAAATTCTTCTAGGACAACCTTGTAGTGTTTTGCTAACCTTATTTATGGTGCATAAAGCATTGAACGCGTGAAGAGTATTCCACTTTACTGAAAACTTTATGGCTATTACTCTATCTCCTTACTTTTCACAACTCGAGAAGAATAATTTAGCTTCTTTCACCGGCGTAAGCATTCCCGCCAAAATTGCATTATAAAAAAAAACATTAAATAAAGAAGAGGCTTCATGCTTTACAGAGCATAATAACCTTAAAAAATGTATAACGTCGCGGGGACCCGACCAAATGAACTCTAGACATCCACAACAAAACACAACAAGAGTAGAGGAAAATTATTTCTTGTCATTGTATCGTGAAAAACAATAAAAGATAACATTAGTCACAAATGTGAACCAACATAAAGACTGTCAACTATTCAATGATTCTATCCTACTATGCTAATCTGAAAACCAATCAAGAAACCATGGAGCATTATAATATCTATTTGGAGATGAAAAATCACTTACTTCTTCCTGTGGAAGATGAAACAATTGACGATACTCTTCACTCTTCAAAACATCCGGAGACTGCAACTAAAAGAGAAAAGAATTACAGAAACGATATGGATCCAGGATGATCAACTTCAACAACCTTAAGTCAAATGCAAATTTCAGTTAAATAGATAACCACAAAACTTCACAAATGGCTTGTTTTCAAACAATCTTACACTCAAGCTAAATATAGTAAAATTAAGAGTTAAAGATATTTTTAATCCTTATGAAATCACAGCCTTTCAAGTTTAATCCCTCAAGAAAACATCAATTTTTCATAAACTTATTTCAAAATAGACACTAAAACAGAACATAAATAATTTAGGAGCCAAACTTTTTTATGTGATGTTATAAGAAGTATAAACATATTTAACCCTAAAATTAAAAATTAAAAATCAAAAATTAAAAGTTCAAACAAATTGATAAAGGACACTTCACAATATTATTATGTGGCCTCATTTTTATATTAGCAAGTGTCTAATTCCATAACTAACTAGTGCAGGGTTGTCCGTGATGGGAACTTAATTGACCAGCACCTTGGCTCTTCTACCTCTTCTCCTAAAGAGACTATAAGGCATAAGGAGTTTCGTTTGAGAAAGAACTATAAGTAAATGCTGCTCGTTAACAGACACTATTGGAAATGGATACAAATATTCATAACGCCTTCAATAACAATGGATACAGATATTCATAACGTCTTCGATAAAAATGGATTAAGATATTCATACAGTCTTTGATACATCAACGTGTAGTATTTCATATCTAAGGTTATTAAGATTTCATGTATAATTATGATTTTATATGAATGCTCGTATATTTATTTGACTTCACCACTAAAGTATCTGTGATTACTATTGCAATATGTGTATTGAGCATGCCTTGTGCTGAATACGGCGAGCAACAAATCGAAGAGCGGGAAAGAAAATAGTACCTGAATTTCGGCGTCACCGAAAAAGTTAGGCAAGGAATCGGATGAATCGTAACGATCGACGGAGGAGGAAGGAGAGTGTTCGACGGGATGTACCGACGATTCGGCGGTTGCAACTGGCGTGGGAGCCATGTGAGGGAGAGATTGTAGATCTGAGATTTGAGAGTGTTAAATGGTGGTTGAGAGTTGAGAGAGTGGGGTTTTACGGTTAGAATGAAAAGAGAGGAAAAAAAGGAAAGATGAGTCAACGTCGGTAGCTGATACTGATAACAACTGCATCAGTCGGCGTTTTCTTTCTCTTCGGCCTTGTTGCCGTTGATGTCGACTAACTTTACACGTGCCTTTTTTTTTTTTTATGAAAATCATTTAAGATATTTGGATTTTAAAACACTTTTTAATTTTTTTTCTTTCGCATAATTAATCAACAATTTCCATAACTTCACTTCTATTATCTTATTTGATCAACAGTATGACCATTGATACAAATTTGAATCAGCATATGTAGTTAAAAATAGATATACTATTTAAACTATAGGGTTCCTAAAAATAAAACCTCTGTAATTTAAACAGTGTATTAATTTTTAACTACATATGCTGACTCAGATTTGTACCAATAGTTTTGCTGTCATGCTACGTCACCGGAACTTAACATTTTTTTTTTCAGAAATCGACATAAATGATCAAATAGAATAACAGTAGTGAAGTTAAGAGACTAACTTGTAACGCTTTTAGTTAAGGAACTAAAGTGAAACATTAAATTAAGTTAAAAGACTAAAACATATATTAAACCTTATTTTTTTAATTATCCAATCACAACAAATATTATTGTAATATTTATGACTTATCACGGTTATAAAAAAATATTTTTGATTTATCAAAAAGTAATAAGCGGATGGTTGATTAGAGATGACAGAGGTAAATGGATTGTTGGTTTCATGCAGGCTATATGAAGATGCAGTTCAATCATAGATGAAATGTGGAGAGTGTTTGAAAGAGCGAAACACACCCGTAGTAAAGGTATCCGTAATGTGCGGATGGGTGTTGATCTTACCGGACCAGAATGGGATCAGCGGCTAGGAATGCGTCATGAGCTCCTAGTTCATCGATGGTGGTGAAAAGGATGGAGTGTCATGATCTTTAAAACGTGGGTAGTTGTCTGATGACGTGTCCCCGCGTGGAAGGGCACGTGGAGTCCGCGGGAGAGACGCGTAAGCACTCCCCGTGTGATGTGATGAACTGAGCCCTCATTGGGTCCCTCCCCGACGAAGAAATAGATTGGGTTGTGCCCGACAATGGGGCAGCCTCTGGCCCAGTCCAGAACAGGTGTTAATCATGAAGTCTTTCAACCTAATCCCTTGAGAAATCCAACAATCATTCCATGCTTCAATACTTTTGCCATTACCAACGACCCGAACAAGTTTACTATCAACAGCAAGTCAAGAATGAACCAGTGTTTTCCACAAAGGTAGAGTTTTGTTGCTTAGCTTCAATACTTCTTGTAATAGTATTGCCTCTACCATATTTTCCTTTAAGCACCTTACTCCAAAGAGCGTTATTCTCTTTGATGAGGTTCCACCCAATTTTGGCAAGACATGTTTTGCTTATCTCTTTCAATTGTATCATACTAAGAATATCATTCTTTTTGGAATTCGCTATCTTGTTCCACTGGATAATGTGTAAGTCGTTGTTACCATACGTGTCTCCCCGACTAAATTCCTCTAAGACTTTTGAATCTCTTTAAGGCAACTCAGAGGCACCTTGTTGCTCATCATGGAATAAGTTGGTAATGCTTCAATTACTACTTTAGCAAGATTCGCTCTTCCAGTCGTATATGGTTATTTAGCTTTCCACATAGTTAGTTTGCTTTTCACCGTATCTATGATGTGTTAGTAATCTTTTTGCTTATGGATTTTACCTGTAACAAGGACACCAAGATAAAACCTCATCTTTGTTTACTCCTTAACGTCTGCTTCTTGGAGAATTTCCTTGCAAGTCATGGAGTTGGTGTTCTTGGAAAAGATGATACTAGTTTTATCATAACTAATCTACTGCCTTAAAATTCTACAAAAGGTATCTGGCACACTTTTGATTATCCTAATTTAGATGATTGGAGCTCTTCCAAATAACAATAGGTCATCTGCAAACATTAAATGTGTCACCTTGGGTCATTTCTTCCTACTTTCATACCTTCTCAGTTGCCATATTCAGAAGCATCGGTGATCATATGAGAAAGCTTTTCCACACATAGAATAAATATGTATGGGGAGATTGGATCTCCTTGCCTCAATCATTTCCTTGTGTTGAAATACTCATATCTCTTCCCCTTCTAAAGCACTTCCATCCTCACAGTTTATATGGACTTCATGACAACCTGAATTAATTTGACTGTAAGACTAATCTCAAGTAGTATCTAATTCACAAAACTCCAATTCGTCATATTGTATGTTTGGCCATATCCACCTTTATCGCTAAGTATCCTTGCTTTCCCTTAGCTACATGCATGTTGAGGAGCATTTCTTGTGCCAAAGTAATATTGTCTTGGATGTTTCTCCCTCGTATAAATTCATTCTAAAAAGGGGACACGACTTTATCAATCAGTCTATTCACTATGATTTTGCTTAACACTTTGTAAATCGTGTTGCATTGAGAAATCAGTCTGAACTGAGATACAAGTTGAGGGTTATCACCCTTTGGAAATTTGTAAATCGCGTTGCATTGAGAAATCAGACAAAAATCATATTCTTCTCTACAAAATTATTAACATATATTATAGTTATGATTTTTTTTATTATAGTTTTGTTATTATAAGTAAAATTGTCATTACTATTTGAGATAAGGTGTAGTAAATAATTTATATTACATAGAAGTTTAATTTTCTTATTCTTAAAAAAAAAAAAACACACATAATTTATCAACAACACAACAACATACAACAAAATAAAAATAATAAGGTTCAAGAACGCAAGATATAATAAACAACAAAAACAATAAATTATAAAGTTCTGAGAACATTAATCAACAACAACACAAGATCACTACAAGAAAATTAGGATTTTGTGACACAAAAATTGCAACAGTTACTTGATAATCGTCGTAACTCTAATATAGAGACGCGCGTCACGACGATATACACATATCGCCCTTACATTTTAAAAAAATTAATAAATATTACGACTGTTATCATTAAATCGCCCTACAAATAAGTTCACGACTGTCTCAAAAATCGCCCTAAATTTTATGTCACGACGGTAGCACAACCGCTGCCCCCTATACCTAGTAACACACATTACAACCAGTGGCAGATCTATAATTATTTATTTGTAGGGGCTAAAAATTAATTTATATATTTTAAATAAATAAATCACTAAAAATATTTATAAAATATAATTATAGTAATAAACTAAACTCAAAATACATAAAAAAAATAGAAATTACAGTTAATTTTATTAAAATATTTTATGTATCAAAATTAAACTATAAAACTAAAATACTATATATACTCAAAATAAAACTTTAATTTTAGAAACAATTTTTATTGTAAAAATTAAACTCAAAATATTATACCCAAAATTAAAGTATCAAAATTAAATTTATATATATATATATATATATATATATATATATATATATATATATATATATATATATATATATATATATATATATATATATATATATATATATATATATATATATATAAATTTATATATATATATATATATATATATATATATATATATATATATATATATATATATATATATATATATATATATATATATATATATATATATATATATATATATATATATATATATATATATATATATATATATATATATATATATATATATATATATATATATATATATATATATATATATATCAAAATTTTATAAACTCAAAATTTTGGAAACCATTTTTATAGTAAAAATTAAACTATATATACTTAAAATACTATAAAATATAAAATAAACAAAAAAAAGTCAACCAACTTTCATTTATTAAAGAGAAATAAAAGAAAAAAAATTAATTAAAATAAATACCACCATGACGGTGAACCTACCATCAATATTCAATTCCCTTGACAAAGGCCGCAATGGTGATTTCACCTGTCGTCCTCCATAAATCATCTTTCGTGCTAAAACGGAATATTCATTCAATTTTTTGTTTCTTTTTCTCTTCTTTTTTAGAAACAAATTATGGTCGCTCACGCCCTTGGAGGAAGAGGGGAACAAATATTTTTCTCAGCCACTCACGTCGTCACTACGAATCACCGACAAAGCAACCACCATAAATTCAAATCTTAACAGGTTTGTATTCTCAAACCCTAAATTACTTCTCAAACCCTAAGTTCCTTTTGAAACCCTACGTTTTTTTTTGCAAATATGTGTGTTTTCGTTGCATATTATATATGCATTATATAGGTTTTCTTTGGTTTTTTGCTTTGAGCCTAGGCTTTACATTGCTCCGTAAATTGTTCATCATAGAAATCAATGTTTTTGGCTTTTTACTCCATTCTTATTAAGTTGAAATTTTTTGTTGGCATTCGATTTCATATCCATACAATTTGGGTATTAATCTATGAGTAGTTCAAATTTGACTTTTCTTAGCATATAACGTTTCAAATTGAGTAATGATATTTACGTATACTTTATCTTCACATACCCTGATGTTGGCCTATATGGATTAATTAAAAAATGCTTTTGTGGGACCAAAGTGTTGTCCATTGTTTGCATGTCATTGTGATAATAAAGCCTAAGTAAGTATCATTATTGTTTTTGTTAGTGTTTTGTGTTTTTTACATGTTACATGATTAGATCAATATTATATGAGAATCAGGATTAGAAAACCTTTCTTTTGGTTATGATACTCAAGTAATATATAATTTTTAACTTATAAAGCTTACTAGTAACTTGGCTTAATTGAAGGGACAAATGGTAAGAAACACTACAATCGTAACGGTAGTGATGTTGATGGCTTCTCATAATAATACAATTAAGTTCATTTTTGGCTATGATGTTCAAGGCGAACTTACAAGTTTCAGGTGCAAGAGAAACATGAAAATAATAGTTAAAGTTGGAAGTGGGAAAAAGGTTAATGAGGAAGTGTAATGTATCATCAAACTTTGT